TGTCCTGTCCTGCCCCAGCCGAACACGCCCCCGGGGCAGCCCTGGCCCAACAAGCGCGTCAGCAGGGCTCAGCCGGGCTGTCCCCCTACCAGGGGCCTGGCGCTCTGCACAGCTGAGGTCTCCCGTGGGACTGAAACCCCGACGGAGGCTGGCGGCCTGGCCGGGCCCGACTCCTGTGTGGGCCTGCCTGCTTCTGTGGGCCTCGCGTCCTGCATGGACAGATAGGCATGCCTGAAGGCCAAGCCCAGACCAGACAGGCCGAGGATGTGGGTCGGGCGGTCACGCTGCCCTGACCTCTCCTCTGGTGTGTGAGCAGGGACACTGGTCACCTCTCGGGCTCTAGGTGACATGCAGTGAGCACTGAGGGGACAGTGTGGAGGACGGGGCAGGAGCCGAGAAGCTGAGTGGGGTCACTCCAGCTTTTCCTACCCCTTGACTGGTGGTGGAGGAACTCGTGACGCTTCAATAAAAAGCAGAGCCCCCCCAGGGAGTCACACCTGGCCACAGGTTTAAAGGCGGCCGGGCCGTCCCTACTTTTGTGGATACGACTGTCGCACATGGGCACAGCCATCCCTTGGTCACCGGTGCTGCTCTGCTGTGGCAACGGGCTTGTCCCAGCTCCGCAGCTGCCCTGTGGGACGCAGCCCCTCGGCTCGAGGCTCAGCCTCTGTAGGACACAGGGCACAGCGAAAGGTCCTCATGGCATCCTCAGCGGCAGAGCCCAAGCAGGTTCCTAGGGAGACACCCACGGAGGCAGAGCTCTTGGGAACACCTGAGGAGGGGGCTGGGAACAGGCTGGGGCACCCGCAGACGGGGGCGCAGGGGCGTCCAGCCTGATCCCTCTGGAGCTCCCGAGCACGAGTCCACCACAGAGTGTCCTGCACAGAGGCAAGGATGCAGGGTCGCCAAGATCCCTCACAGGTCCCTGGTCACTGCAGCCGGGAGGTGGAGGTAAAGTGCCCAGCGCCGCCCAGGCTCCATATGGCCGAGGTCCATCTCTGAGAAGGGGCAGGTGCATGGACAGCATGGCCATGGCCGCAGGGGTGACACCAATGGTCCTGGGGACCTCAGGCACCACGCTCAGCACTCTCCTTCAGCTCCCACGCTCAGGAGCCAGAACCAGGCTCCAGCCCGGCCCCAGGTGCTCCCCTGTGCCCCAGCCACAGCCCCCTCCCAGGGCCACGTGTCGAACCCAGAGCTTTGGCAGGTCAGGACCTCGAATGCAGGAATCGGCCCTCCTTGGAGAAGGTGGTGCCCAGACAGGGGCTAGGCTGGACAGTGTCCACTCTGGGAGGGAGCAGGAGTCTCCCAGGCCCAACCCAGGAGCGCACTCAGTGAGAAGGACTATGTCCACGGGCAGGTGGTGTCCGAGGAGCAAGGGGTAGCAGCTCTGGAGGGTCTTCCTGAGAGAGACCGATGGCCAGTGGCCCTGAGCAGAGCTGCTGCTGGGAAGGCAGCACAGACCTACAGCAGCCCCCAGATTCCAGACAGGAGGTGGGAAGGGGCCGTGGAAGCTCAGCACCCAGCAAGAAGAGGTGAGGTGAGCGCACTTGAACCTGGGGAGGGGGCCGGGGGAGGGGCCGGGGGCCAGGAGGCAGCCGGGGGCCACCTGGGCCTCGTGGTCAGGAGTTCCGGCTACAGCAGGTAGGGCAGTCAGCTCCTCCTGGGGCGGGGGCTTCAGCAGGGGCCAGGGGTGGAGGGCTTGGGCAGAGGCGCAGCAGGAGGGGTGGGGAGGGCAAGAGGCCGGGAAATGACGGTGGAGCCAGCAGGGTCCCCGAGAGCCGCCCCCTGCACAGCGGGGCTCTGGCTTGGTGTCCTCTCCACTCGGCAGGAGATTCCCAGGAACCCAGCTGTTGGAGTCACGGTGCCCTTGTCGGGAGCTGAGGGACGGAGTGTCCTGCGGTCCAGCCTCGGCCAGCTCGGAGACGCCAGGAGGAAAGGCTTACTGGGCCCTGGTTCATAAGTCCCATGGCTCTGGGCCCGTGGCCAGCAGAACCTCAGGCCAGGAGCACCTGGGGGAGCAAGGCTGCTGGCCGTGGCCACTGAGAAAGAAGGACAAGGGAGAGGCCAGGGCGAAACCCCCCTTCAGGGCAGGCCCAGTGACCTCGCTTCCTCTGGTAGGCCCCTCCTGGAGGTGGCACCCCCTCCCAACAGCACCACAGGCTGGTGATGACTCCTTTTGCATGTGGCCTTTGGGGACATTTCAAATCCAAGCCATAACTGACTCCCACGCTGCCCTGCATGGCCGCACACCTGCCTCCATGAGGCTGTGGCTTCCTCTCATGGCAGAGTCCTCTGCTCAGCCCTGGCACCTCTGCTGAGCCACCAGGCAGCCACCAAGGGCACCGAGGCAAGACGGACTCACAAGCCCCGCAGCCTGGGCCAGCCAGGCATGGCACCCGCCGTGGCCACTCCCGACTTTCCCGGGAAGGGAAGATAGGCGCGTTCCTGAGCCCTTCCTTCCCAGGAGGGGTGGGCACAGCCTGGCACCGCCAACCGCCCCAGGGCTGCGAGAGCCGCAGCCACCACTGGCTCTTGCTGATTAGTCATGATGTGTTTAATCGAAATTTCAAGGTTCATTACGGAATGTGGATTGATTAAATTGAGAGGGAAGATAATGAACAATATTCCCCCTGGACACGTGGGAGCGCAGGCCTGCTGTGGAGGGGACTGAATGTGTGGACCTGCTACGTGAGAACCAGAGGACCTGGTAGAGCTGACCTGCTCCCTGCCAGGCTCCTCACCACCCTCAGGGTCACTGGCCAGTGTCCCCCAGGACCTTGAGGTCGGCCAGACCCTCCTTAACTCCTTCTGGGCTTTCTTACCAAGGGTCCAGGGTGGGAGCAAAAATCCACTCGGGTCACACCAGGGTGCAGCAGTCTTCCTGGCCAGGGAGCAGCAGGAGGGGACAGTGCAGATGGCTCTGGACACCCTGCCTGGTCTGGGCATCCCAGGGGATCTCCCAAGTCCTCCCGGATGCTGGAAGGGCCTGCTCCAAACCTGCTGATGCACCGTTCAGCATGAAGGGTCTGGCTGAGCTCCAAACCCCTAGTGCTGAGGTGTGAATCCAGGCCCTTCGGGACTGGGAACGTGAGTCCCGAGCTCTCTTGCGGGTCTGTGTGTCTGCCCCCTGTTCTCACCCACCCTGGCCTGAGCCAACCCACCAGGCCCTGCAGGTGAGTGCTATTGTTCCCATTCTACAGAGAAGAGCGGTGACTGCCACACACAGCCTGAGTCAAACCTCAGCAGCAAATACTGAGAAAAGACCAGGATGAGGGGCTGTGGCTGCAGGTGCCTCACACACAGAAACAGCAGGTCTGGGAGGCAGGGGCCGCCGCTGCAGGGGGTGTGGGAGGTCTCAGGACCCCCAGTAGGGCCTCTTCTCCATGCACGTCTGGCCATATGGAGGCTACATGCCCTGGCCCCTGGCTCTGAGCCCTTTGGCCTTGGGCTCACTTGGCAGGATCAGTTTGTATACTACCCAGTGGCCGCGTGGGCTGCCCTGCTGAGAGCTGCTCCTTCGTCCTTCTTCCCAGCTCTCCAAACAAGAAGGTCTGATTGCCACAGAATAAAGGCACCCTATCACAGATGGGTAGCCACGTTTCCAAATGTGCACTCAGACCCAGGGAAGGAGCCGCCCTGTGATTCTGCAGGTAGGGCTCCTGCGGACGTCAAGTCCAGCCTGGCGCGGCCCACGCAGGTCCTCCTGGGCACCAGGAGAAGGCTTCCTTTCCTAAACGGGACGAAGGGCTCAGGTCGCTGTGGTTGGGCTCTCTTGACCCACTGAGCTGCTGTCGAGAGCCGTACTCAGAGCAGGAATAACAGTTACTAACTGAAACCACCCGAGAGTCCCGGGGAGGCCAGGCTCAGCCCTCAGTGCCTGGCTTCTGGCCACGTGCTGACCCAGGTGATTTTCGAAGCACACAATTGTCTCTAAATTTTCCCGCATCCTAAATCAGTGGGATTTGCCAGGAGGTATAAAGGAACTTAAAATTCATTTCCTAGGCAGCAATTATTCATGCCCGTCAAAACTCATTCATCAGAGATAAACCTATTATCCATTTATATTCCAAAACCCAGCCCGCTTTAACTGAGAGGCAGCAAGTCTTCCCTTCTGCAGACGGCCGCCCGAGCTGGTTTCCACAGCGCCCAGCCCCATGCTCCCCGTCTGCACCAGCAGGCACCACTGCCGGCCTCCAGGTCCAGCCCCAGGACCTCAGCTTCATCCTGCCCCAGATCACCTCCACCTGCAGCCACTGCGTCTGCACATGGGGGAGACCCACGAACCCGGAAACCAGACGTGCAGGGATGAAAGAGAGCCAGCAGCCCAGAGCCCCCGTCTCAGGCCCAGCAAGTCAGTGGGGCCCCAAGAGCAGGGCCGGACACTCTCCCTCACCCCAGGACTCTCTCATGAGGCACACTGGCGCCAGATGGCCAGAGGCTGAACTGTCCAAAGCCAAACCCAGGCTGGAGACCATGGGATGTGAAGGGAACTTCAAAGGGCCTGTCCCCCGGTGCAAGGACCCCACTGGGAAGCTCCCACTATGTCCCTCCTTCACGTAACCCAGCCCTGCACATTCCTGGAAGGTGGCAGATGTTCCCAGTGGTCTCCGTGTCATCCTGTCGGGTGTGACGCCGAAGTCAGAGAGGATCCACCCCTCCCATCGGGCTCCGTGTTAGTCCGATGGTAAGGCCACCACCCTCGGGGGCGGTCATGTGGGAGCTGGTCCCTGGCCTGTCCAGCTTGTCCCAGGCTCTGAAGCCTCAGAACAACAGCAGAGTATGACCAAGCCCCCCCAGGCAGGGACCGAGGAGGAAGCTGTCAAGGAGGAGAGGAAAACGCACTGAGAAGCATCCACAGACCACGGTGACCACGAGCTCCCCTGACAGGGGTGGACAGGAGGACAGCACTGAGCCTCACGCCCAGGGAGGGCAGCCGACAAAGTCACACAGCCCGGGCCCCCTGGACCGTGTAGGGGGAGGGCGGCCTCTAAATGAGGTCTAGATGCCGAGTTCCAATTTTATTCTAAATTCTGAGGGGTAAAAATAGACCGTAGGTGTGTGTGCTTCTGAGACAGAGAGGAAGGAGCCAGACTTTAAATATGTAAGCAATTTAAAATGAGGCAGGGAATGACATGGCATGGAAACTTCAGAACAAAAAGAAATCAAGGGTGGATGAGACGTAAAGATGATTAAAATGTATCCGCAGCCGCAGAAAACGGAGGCTGATAGAACTTGGCAGTGTAAAAACTGTCCGGTTCCGTTTTTCATTTCGATTCAGCTCTCTGCTGTGCAAAAAAGGGTGAAGACTTTTGCAGATAAAAAGTCATTAAAATTGTCAGCCCAGGATCATAGATGCAAGCATTTACGAAAAGATATTAATATTTTAAACTTCCACTTTACTGTTCCTTATATTTGAGAGCTGGATTATTATGAGAAAGGAGTCTCTGATGCATGCCATTACCTTTCAGTTCACCAGGAAGACATCAAAATTCTCCCCAACTGAACCTGTCCCCACCACGGGGGGCCGCACCCTGAGCGTCCACCCCAGAGAGGGAGAGGAAGTCGAGGTTCAGAGACCCACAGGCAGCGTCCACACCATCCTGGCCAGGGGGCTCCAGGCTGCAGTCTCCATGCCCTTCTGCAGGTGAGGGGTCCAGCCCCTTGTCCCCCACTGTGGGCTCCTGCTCAGCCACAATCAGGACAAACCATTGTCACAGAAGGTTGGGTGACCTCAGGGGGCATGAGGATGACCAGGCAGTGGGAAGTTCCTAAGCAGTAGCCACGGAGGTGGAGGAGAGCCCAGTGGTCACAGGTGGTGCAGGGGGAGGGTGGCCAAGGCAGAGGGCAGCAGGAGGCCCCTGGGTGCTCGCTCAGTGGCCTCTGGGTGTGTGAGGCTGCTGCTCGGGGCTGATGCACACCAGCACGGTGCGTGATGCTGGTGGCGGCAGCCAGTAGTGGCCTTATGGATGGCCGTTTCCTGTCATGATATTGCACCACAGTTACTCAGGAGGGTGCCTTTGGGGGCAGGGGTACAGGGCTGGTGGCCCTCTGGGTCCCTTTTTGAGGCTGCACGTGTTGGGGTTTTTTGCTTCTGAACCCAAAGAACTGACGAAAGCAGCTGGAGGAGGGGACTTCACTGGGCTTGCAGCTTCAGAGGTCCCCGCCCTGGGGCCCAGGTGAGGAGAGCACCGAGGCGCAGTGTGGAGCAGGGAAGCAGCTCCGGACGTGGTCAGGAGGCAGAGGGACGCTCTCCTCAACCAGGACAAGATGGACACCCACAGGCACACCCACAGTCAGCACCTAGTCAGTCGCCACCAGGGGCCGACGCGCTGCCCGGGTTAGGGCTCTCCCTGGCCAGCGTCCACCCTGAGCTCCCCTGCGCTGACTCACGTGAGCCTCTGGGGCAGCCCCAGCTGCACCTGGCAGCGTGGGAATGGGAAGGAAAGTAGGCAGAGTCACTCTCAGCAGCAAGAGACGTGCGAGTGGTGTCTCCGGGTTCCAGGCCGTGGGATCGAACTCACCTCCTGAGGATGCCGCAGCAAGTCCACACCAACGGGGCTCCCTCTCAGGTTGAAGGCTAGAGGCTGGAAATCCAGCAAAACGGCAGCTCTGGGGTGGACTGGCGCCCACAGCTCGTGCTGAAGGCGTGGTCTCTGGCGCAGCAGAGCAGAGGTGGGCCCTTGGGCAGGACCCGGGTCAGGACGGCTCTGACCCCAGGGCTCCAGCCTATGGGGACGCAGCCAGAGTGCTGTGGAGGCCTGCTCCCTGGCCAGCCTGTGTCCCTGTGGACCTCGGAAGTGCCCCAGGCCTCACTACCAAGCCCACAGCAGCAGGCGGAAGAGGAGGATTGCAGGTGGGGGTCAGGCGATGCTCCCCCAAGGACCCCACCTCACAGTGTCCCACCAGCATGTGCTGCAGAGTCCCAAGGCTTGACCTTGCTCTTGTGGAAGCCAAAGCCCCAGGGAGGGCAGTGACCACCGGGCAGCTCAGCTTCAGTTACTCCAGAAGCTCATTACAACATGGCGGGTGCTACTCACGGTGTCCTGCAGGCAAACAAGAGGCTGAGACGCCAGAGTGGAGCGGGGTCTTCCTGTGTCAGGAGAGACATGGACATAGGGGATTCCGGGATCCACAGAGCACCGCCACAGTGTCCAGGGACCATGCTGCCCCAGGACCACGCTGCCCAGGGATCATGCTGCACAGGGACCATGCTGCCCAGGGACCATGCTACCAGGGGTCACACTGCCCAGGGACCACACTGCCCAGGGACCACGCTGCCCCAGGACCACGCTGCCCAGGGACCACACTGCCCAGGGACCACGCTGTCCCAGGACCACGCTGCCCAGGGACCACGCTGCCCAGGGACCATGCTGCCCAGGGACCATGCTGCCCCAGGACCACACTGCCCAGGGACCATGCTACACAGGGACCAT